GGGGGGGGGGGGGGGGGGTACAGTAAGAGTACCACTGTCTACAGCTTCTCGTCCAATTTTTTTTTAATTTAAGTTTATTTGATAGGGACTGACACACAATAACATAGACAAACTGAATAAAGCAGCAGTCCCATGCCTGTATCATGGTGCTTATAGCGTGAGCTAATTTGCAGCGCTTGTCCCTAGATGGGCTTTTATACACAGGATATCTAAAATACTATTAAGAAGTGGAATGGCAATAAAAGAGTAAAATTATTAAAAATAATATTAACAACATAAACAGAGTCATACACTTCAAACAAATGGATTAAAATAATAAAATACATTAAACATGAGTGCAATGCTGTTTTTGACACAGCCAGAGTTTAATTTGCTTTTTAAACATGTTGAATCTGGTCACAGACTTTAAAGTGACAGGGAGTATTCCATATTGCAGATCCTCTCATAGAGAGAGAACTTTGAGCAAACGTGGTTCTACTGAAAGGAACCTTACAGTTGTAGATGAACAGATGCTCAGATATATTCATCAATTAACACGGATTCCTCATTTTTCTGAACTGAATAAAACGTGCATTGAATTTAATGAAATGCAAACGTGAGACGTCATTTATGTTTGACCCATCAAAATGAATGCGGTCATTTATTTACAGAATCAAAGTTTAACATCAAACATTTACATTAATTTGGCAAATTATGAAAATAACAACAAAAGCAATCAATCAGGAAAAATCATACGGCCATGATTTTTCCGTTGCTTCACCACAGACATTTATGAAAACTGTACAATTATGATCTTTTTCCCACACGGAGGTGGATGAGCACTTTACACAAACATTTCTAAATATCTGGAAGGATTTCTACTTGAGAGAGGAGTTTAAAGATGGGAAAGAAGTTTAAAGAAGAGTAAAAGATGGGGTTTGAGGGAGAGTGTTAACAGAACGGCACTCTCCGGGCTTTCTTCAGCCTCATCCTTACAGTACACTTAGGTGGTGAAATCGACTCTTTTACCTGGAGATGTCTCAGGCGAGATTCCGTTTAACGCACCCTTCAGCGTCTCCGTAGGATGCTGTTACTCGTCCGGAGTAGCGGCGAGATTCTGTCCGCCACAGCTCACCTCAGTGAAGATGTTATAATCCCATGAAACTCGGAAGAGCTCTGTTGTCATGTCAGGATCTTCCCGGCTCACAGAACTGAACAGAGACCCAACTCCCACAGAACTGAACTCTCACAGCCCTCACAGAACTGACAGAACTGTGTATCCAACAGAACTGTGTATCCAACAGAACTGAGTAGACCAGGAAGTACCGACATTTTAAAGAGCCCTTTTCCCGGTTCATTCGGGAGTCTCCCCATTGGCCAGAACCGACCAGACGGGGTGTGTTTTGTGACGTAAAAGGTTAGAAGGCAGCAAGAATTGTTATGGAACAGATCAGAAATGTTCTCACAGACAGAGAGAGTTTTGTTTTGGCGAGTTTAAGAAACAGGTGCCAAAACCCCCCTGTTGACGTCTGAGAGGATATAAACAGGACAGTTGTTCCAACACATGTCTGCTTCACTCCTGACCCTGGAACGCACACTTTGCTCATTCACAGACAGAAATCAGAAAATGCATAATTACTCTGCAACAGCTTTAACATGAGTTCTAACTTTGCATGAGAATTAAAAATCATTACACAGTTAATAAAATTGATTAGTTCACTGCAACATTTAAAATGGTTTGAACTAAGACACTTTGATTATCAACATTTGTAAAATAGTAATGATAATAAAAAGAGAGTGTTCTTTCACTTGAATTTTCAAGAAAGAAAGTCTCAGGATGGGTGAACCTGTATTTCTGGATTCAAATCAACGAAATGACAGTTCCTGTCCCACAAGGTTCTTAAGGTCAAGAGTTTTGACCTTAGGCTTAGTCTTGACCTCAGATTAAGTTCACTACACAGTCGCCATTTACAGCTGCTCTTGTAGGTCTGCTGTAGCCCTGCAGTTTCTGTATACAGTTGCTTAATGGCTTGGGTGCAAGTTCATTTAAGCATTTGAAGATCAATTTTAAAAAAATTGTAATTTATAAAATTGGAAAATTCTAAAATACAGAACTTAGCTAAAATATTACAGTGGTGAAATCGGATTGGTTTTTGGAATAGAACCTCCGTGTTCAACTGTCCCCCTCTTACAATGCTGTGATTGCTAGTATCACTCAGCCCTCTGTGAACAGTAAACAGCCATCAGGTGCTAATGATCCATTGTTAGGCTGATGGTCCTTCTTGAGCATGTGAGCAGCTGGTTCTGGTTGTCAGCAGCAAAACTGGTTGATCCACTCTGAGAAGGTGCTATTTAAGAGACTGAGCTGAATACAGCACCTCAGACTGAGGAAGTCTTTCAGATGAAAGACGAAACGTTTCTACTTTTTTGTTTTTGTTTTTGGACATGCCTGGAAAAGCTCTAAGGGGAGTTGTACAGGAGGCATCCTAATCAAATGCACAATCCACCTCAAGCACCTCACTAAGAACAACTGGCTGTATTCTGATTAGCCATTTGCTCATCAGAATAAAACCGGGGGCATTCAAAAATCTACAACAGATACAAAAATCATCTACAACTTGCATAAATAAGTTTTCACTTTTGCACAAAAACTTTTAAAATTACTAAATTGTTCCCTTAACAAAATTTGAAATAGATTTATATGTTTGTTTCTTCAGTTATTTGCTAAAGCAGAGCCAACACATATATTTGTTTAAAAACAAAAAAGGACAAACTAAGCCAAATGTAACTAAACACTACTTTGATGTGATTTGAATGAGTTTTAGGATGGCTCAGTGCTTTAGTTAATAAATATGTTTTTTTCTTTGTTTTGCTAAGCTTGGTGGAAGGTTTCCGAAGTTCATCTCAAGAGATATGGAGGCCATGTACATCGAAGAGTTGCGATCTTCCGTCAATCTATTGATGGCAAACCTGGAGAGCATGCCAATATCTAAAGGAGGAGAGTTCAAGCTGCAGAAGCTGAAACGAGGTCACAACACATCCATTATGGATATGGGCCAGGAGGATGAGAACATGCTGTCCAAGTCTGATGTTGTGCTGTCTTTCACCCTTGAGGTGAGCATTCATAAATCTCTTTGCTATCCAAACAGAAATTACTACTTTTAAATACACATTCACTGCATATTAAGCAATATAAAATTTCTTAAGCAGAAGTATTGTTTAATTTGAATAACAATCATAATCAGAAAACATTGTTGCCATACACACACACATGAAGTTTTATTGATCGGTGATGCCTCCAAATTGTTCTTTCAAGACCTCTCTACAAAGTTGTCAACCATTTTCAGTACACCCCATATCTGTAATGCCATCACAAACATTTGTAATTCAATTAGGTCAATTTAATTCCTTTTATTATTCCCCATCATTATCCACCTCAATCATCCCAGTTCCTAAGAGCTCTGCAGTGACTGGTCTGAATTACTACTGGCCAGTAGCCCTCACCCTGATAGTCGCTACATGCTTTGAAAGACTGGTCATGGCCCACATCAAAGCTACCCTTGACATCAGCGAGGACCCTCACCAGTATGCACACCGCAAGAATTGATCAGCAGAGGATGCCATCTCCTCTGGTCCACACTGCTCTCACCCACCTGGAGAAGAAGGACTCCTACATCCATATGTTCTTTGTGGATTTCACGTCCGCCTTCAACACCATGATTCCCCAGACCCTGATGGACAAACTACTCACACTAAGACTAAGCCCTTCCCTGTGCAACTGGGTCCTGGATTTCTTAACCAACAGACCACAGTCTGTGAGGATCCACAAATTCTCCTCCTCCACCATAACCCTCAGCACTGGTTCCCCTCAGGGCTGTGTGCTGAGCCCCCTCCTGTTCAGTTTGCTCACATATGACTGCGAACCTACCCATCTACGCTATCATATTGTAAAGTTTGCAGACAGTGCAGAGGTGATTGGGTGCATCACAAACAACAAGTCCAGCTACAGGCAGGAGGTGGAACACATGGAGAGCTGGTGCAGGAAGAACAACCTTCACATCAATGTGAAGAAAACGAAGGAGATGATCATGGATTTCAAAAGGAACAAACACACCTATCACCACCTAAAAACCTAGGTCTCGGTCTGGTAGAAGAAAACTCTAGCACGGTTCGAGTACAGTGTGAATGCCAGCAGATCGGGCACTGCTCTGCAAGCAGGAGGTGGACTACAACGCAGGGCAAACAAACACGCATTTCTCTTACCTCATATGGAGCGGTCAGCTGCCTTGTGTGAAAAACCACATTTTCCATGGTCTTCTGCTTCATCTTCTGCTCATGCTGACTCCATGGTTGAAAAATGACAAAACAGAACTAAAACCAACAAAACTTGATGCCACTCCGTTTTTGTTTTTATTTCCAGAAGAAGAAGTATTGTCTTGAGCATGCATCAGGATGTCTTCTTCAGAGGTTTCTGTGTCGTTTCTTTCAGTAGTTCTTGGTGTAGCGCCCCCACAGGTGAGTGGGGGAACAGGTTGACTCGACTGCACAGTGCAGTGTGAATGCAAACGCATCAGCTCAAATGTAAACAAAATGTTATGAATTTTGGTTCAGTTTGGTTGGTCCCCAACCGAACCGAGTCTACCAGACTATCAGCTGTGAAAACAACCTTAAACATAAGGAGCATTTTTTCAAAGGTAGATCAGATTCAACACCTGCTGATCAACTCCAACCTGGACCTGCCTCTCCTTCCAGAACAGCTCAGAATGAAAATATCAGCAACCCTCTCCTGTGCCAAACCGCCTCCTTCAAACCTCACACCACAGGAAAGGAAAGCTGTAACATCACTCAGCCAGGACCAAAACATCACCATTTTACCAGCTGATAAATGAAGATGCACAGTAGTCCTCAACACTTCTGATTACCGGGAAAAAATAACTACACTACTGAGCGACAGCAACACCTACAAGACCCTGAAGAGGGACCCAACCAGCACCTATAAAAAGAAAGTCACAGATTACCTGCAAAAACTTGAAAAGGAGAAAACAATCAATCGATTGTTGTATTATAGATTGTACCCAGGGGAAGCCACTCCCTGTCTTTATGGACTCCCAAAAATACACAAAGAAGGAACACCACTCAGACCCATCGTCAGCAGCGTGATCTCAGTGACATACAATATTGCTAAACATCTGGCTGGTATTTTAGCTCCTCTTGTTGGAAACACACCTCATCACATAAAGAACTCCATTGATTTTGCTAACAAAGTTCAACACTTGAAACTAACCCCAGGAGAAACCCTTGTATCGTATGATGTGACTTCTCTTTTCACATGCATACCCATCTCTGAAGCAGTAGAAACCGTCAGAAAACAACTTCTACAAGACAAGGACTTAATCAACAGGACCAACTTCACCCCAGACCAGATCTGCACCCTGTTGGATCTCTGCCTCTCCACCACTTATTTCAAGTTCAATGACAGTTTTTACAGACAGAAGCACGGCTGTGCCATGGGATCTCCAGTGTCACCCATTGTTGCCAATCTCTACATGGAGGAAGTAGAACAGAGAGCCCTAAACTCCTTTGAGGGAACAAAGCCAAGCCATTGGTTCCGTTATGTGGATGACACCTGGGTCAAAATCCAAGCCAAGGAAATAGAAGCGTTCACCAGACACATTAACTCGGTCGATAACAACATCAAGTTCACCAGAGAGGATGCAAACGACAACAAGCTGCCTTTTTTGGACTGTTTGGTTCAGATGGAGAGAGAGGACAGCCTCAATATTGAAGTGTACAGGAAACCAACCCACACAGACCAGTATCTTCTGTTTGACTCCCACCATCCACTGGAACACAAACTCTCTGTCATCAGAACTTTACAACATCGGGCCGAACGCATCCCCACAAAGACAGAAGGGAAGGAAAAGGAACTGAAACACATTCAAGAAGCTCTTCAAACATGTGGATATCCTAACTGGGCTTTTGTCAAGTCAGAGAGGAAATCTACAAAACACACCAATAAACAGAAAAAAGAGAAGAACAGACGTAAAAACATTGTCATCCCTTATGTTGCTGGAGTATCAGAGAAATTCAGAAGGATCTTCAACAAACACAACATCCCAGTACATTTCAAACCCAGCAGGACTCTCAGACAGAGGCTGGTCCACCCTAAGGACAAGACACCCATACACAAACAGAGTGGTGTAGTGTATGCGGTCCAGTGCAGCGAGGACTGTCCAGACCTCTACATTGGAGAAACTAAACAGCCTCTTCACAGACGCATGGCTCAACACAGGAAAGCTACTTTGTCAGGACAAGATTCATCTGTTCACCTCCACCTCACAGAGAAGGGACACTCTTTTGAGGACCAAAATGTGCACATTTTGGACCGAGAACACAGATGGTTTGAGAGGGGGGTGAAGGAAGCAATTTATGTAAAAAGAGAAAAGCCGTCTCTTAACAGAGGAGGAGGCCTCAGATTTCCACTTTCAAAAACATATAATGCAACTTTAAAACAGATTCCCAGCCGGTTTTCACACCTGATGGGAACAGAAGGGGCCTCGACTGTGAATGAGAGGAACAAAAGACTTTAAGGAACCCCTACTGTTAAGGTGTTTAGGTGTGAATTGTCAATCTACATATGTGTGTGTGTGTCTTATCTCACTCAGCCTTATAACCTGAATCTCTCACTCTCTGCTCTTTGAATTGAGAAAGTTCCTCGGATGAGGAGCGAAACGTCTTCTGTCACAAATAAAGTCCAGTTGTTTTTTTTATTGAATGTGTTTTGAATTCATCATGTCCTGGATGACTGAGAATCTTCACCAGCAAAAACATATAATCTTATTATGGGATTATCAGATCACAACTTGACTGTAATTATCAGAAAATTGTAAAAAAAAAGTCTATCGAGGTTTTGTTTTCGATCGGACTTTGTTTTCCAGCAAACAAGGATCAGAAGGAGCGAGACTGAGCAATTTGACAGTGAAATACAGGACATGGACTGGGATCTGACTTTACAAGCACATGAGCCCAATACCTGTTGCAACATTCTTACAGAATCGCTTGTAAAGATAATTCATAAATTTACAAAGCCAATTAAAAGTAAGCAGAAAAAGTATTCCCTAATAATATCAGATAATAATAATAATATCAGACCATACAATAATGGCAAATGCTTTTAATGATTATTTTAATAAATTAGTAAAAGAATTGTCAATAAACTTTAATCACATAGATCCAACAGAGAGTTCAGTTATTTATACATCTGTTCCTTTTATTCTTAACAAGATCAGTCTTTGTAAAACTCAGCATATAATTAATGGATTAAAACATTGAAAGATAAAAATGTTTCTGGGATAGCTACAGAGCTTATAAAGAAACATATTGCTTTGTCAAATAATATAACCCACTTAATAAACTTAACTTTTACAAAAGGTCTATGTCCTGATTTCTTTAAAACAGGACGTGTAACTCCTGTTTTGAAAGCTGGCGACTCCGAGAAAGTTAGTAACTATAGACCAATAAGTATTTTACCAGCAATATCCAAAGTGATGGAAAAAGCAATAGCAGAGCAGCTTATTAGTTATTTAGAAAAAAAACATCTTCTTTGTCCAGTCCAGCTTTGGTTTCATTCTGGTTATTCAACAGAACTGGCTACCTCCTACCTTACAAACAATATTAAAAGATCTCTAGATATCATACATATCATTTTATTTATAGAGCACTTAAAACAGCGACAAAGCCAACCAAAGTACAGCACTTAGGTTGGCTTTGTAGCTGTTTTAAGTGCTTTATAAATAAAGTGGTATGGTATGGTAAAGTGCTGTACAGACAGAAAAACAGGCAACACACAAAGCAAAATACAAAATGAGGTAAATCAGAATATAGACATAAAAACGATGCAGATAATGACGACAAACCAGTGTGGAGCATACAGGTTCAAAACACAGATCATCTGGTGTTGAAAGCTACCATTCTCCATAACCTCCATTGGCTTCCTGTCACCTACAGAATTCAGTACAAAATTGCTCTCATTACCATCAGTGTTTATATGGAAATTCACCAGATTATCTGAAGGACCTTCTTGCTCCATATTCATCCACCCGGTCCCTACGATC